CCAAGTATTTCACTTTTTTTCTTTTTAAAAGAGAGATGTTTGCTATTGGGTGCATGTGCTCACTGGAGAAAGAGAGAGAGACAGAAAGCAAGAAATCACCCCCCACCACCACCCCCAGGAATGGCCATGTCACAGTCCCTTCTCCTCCATTCTTCTCTTGAGATTTTGGGCACACACGCACATGCGCCCAGTGTGAGTTTTAAGACACTAGATCCAGGACTCAAACCACAGCTGACTACGTGGAAGTTCAGTCCTCTGTGCCATCTGCTGGCCTCTTTAGAATTAGAAACTAATTCTAATCTTACATGCTAACCTGAAACCCTATGCTCAATTTTTTAACATAATTTCCAGAATCATGTAAGTCCAGTGAGAGACTCTCTGGGGAAAAGGGAAAAAATAAAAAAGGAGGTTCCATGTTAAAATAAGCATGAGAAAAACTGCATTCTGTACCTCTCTCCTCCAGGTTCATGGTCATCTGGAGACCCTGGCAGGCACATTCTGGCCATGAGGCCTTTGCTCTGCCTCGCTCTCTCTGTAGGTCTTCTCCCAACTAGCAGCTCCTATCATTGCAGCCTCAGCAGTAGTGTCACCTCGCTGGAGGTGTGACTGACCACACTGTCTAATACAGCCATCCTCTGTACGCCTGTCCTTTCCTAGCACTTCCTCCCTCCTGCTATGCCCTTCCTTCTGCTCCGGGCCCTCCCTCTCTGCCATCACCACAGGGCACCCTTTTGTAACTGGCGCAGTTTTGTTCAACATGTATTCTCAGCACCTTTTATAGAACAGAGTTAGAACTGACAAGGCAATTAGTAAGGGTTCTCTGCACACTCTTGGAAACTCTGGCCAAGAATTCTTGGCATCTTTTTAAACTCCTCCCCTCTTTCATTCTGTTTTCCTCCACTAGTCTCGCCTCTTTGATTCACTTCCATGGTGGATATTTTCTGTTTGTCTCTCCACATCCCTTCTTACCATGCCAGGCATTAGTCAAAGTATTTAATATTTATTACTTAGTTCATACAGTTTTCCCAATAATCCTATGAGATACATCTTTTTAAAAAAGAAAGAAAAAGAAACATTTTATTTAACTTTCTTTATTTATTTTAATTTGACCAGAGAGGGACAGAGTGTGTGTGGGGGTTGGGGGGGAGGGAGGTTAGTGAGAGAGCAAGCCTCCAGGTCTGGGACTCGAATCACAGTTAGTCATGTGGGAGTTCAGCGCTCTTAACCACCATGCCACTTGACGGTCCCGAGGTACATCTTAATATCTACATTTTACAAACAAGAAAACTGAGGCAATGGCCATTAGTTAACTAGCCCCAGCCACATAGCTTTTAAGCGGCTAAAAAAAAAAAAAAAAAAATCTCATTTCTGTACCTTTATTCATACTGACTCTGAATTCCCCCCTCCTCCCCAATTTGTCTACATCCTGAACATCTTTCAAGGTCTCTCTTAGATGCTTTCCTCTTTCACGAAGTCTTCTGTAGTCATTCTAGCCAGCATTCTTTCCTATTTCTTTTCTTTTAAAATTCCCATTGCACCTAGAATGAATACTGCGTGGTTTATCTCTTACTCCCCAACTTGATTATTAACCTCGATGATCAAGACCCACCCTTTAGGATTTGATTCTTTGTCCTCTTCCATCTTATGGGTGTCTTTCAAGCATCCACTGAGGGTCCTGGAATGTATCCCCCCAGATTGGGAGAGACTACCCTGTGTTTTTCTAGGCTTAGCGGAATCTGCATTGGTGTACAGGCCTAGCACTGTGCCTTGCTACATGCTCCGTAGTTACAGAATGACTCCTGGAAATGTTTTTAAATCTTTCCATTTGACTTATTTTTATTTCAGTATTTGTTTCAGGACCGAGAAAATCTGAGTGCCCTAAATTATGTAAGTAAAGGAAAATATCTTAAAAAATAGGAAGAAAATAGGGTTTAAGTAAATGCCTTCCTAATTCTGGTAATCTTGGTGTGTTGAGGGCCTTGACTTGGTAAAAGAATTATCAGGGGATCAGAGCTTATCTTTGGGTCAAAAGTTATTTTAATTGCCCCTGTGATGTAATAAAACACCTGTGTGTCACGGACTCAAACCAAGATAACTGGCCTCTTTATGAAATACTCCAAAGGAGCCGTGAATTGTTGTCATCCCCCTGAAAGAGGCAAGCGTACCGACGTGCTTCCCAAGCAACAGGACTTATTCTGTAGTGCCCGTACAGATGTCCAGTTGTCTAAGAGAACTCGTGGCTGTTTTTTAAAAACCCAGTTCTCTGCTTCTCCTGTGGAGATGACCTATCCTGCCCTTGGTAGTTGCCTCTCGCCCTTTCTTTCTCACGAATGCTGAGAGCATAGCTCTCAGCGTAGCCTGCCTGCACAAACACAGAGGTGCCTTCCGTCGTCAAAGGCTGCTTGTCACCACACAGTTGTGCAATTGCAGGTGTTGTTCACGCTTAGAGTAACACTTCGAACCTGTGTGTTCCCAATAAAGTCGGATGTAACAGAGAGCTGGCTGTCTTCAACTTTACCTCCCTGTGACTTCAAAACCTAACTCTTCCAGTTCTCAGATGTAAGGCTGCAGTCAAAAGTAGCACAGTACTTGCTTTCAGAATTGTATAATTTTGACATTTTACATGTGATCCAATTTCAGGTGACCCTGGAGCAGATTTTTTTTTTTAACTGAGGAGGGATAGTACTGAGAGGTCCAAAGTAGAGAGAGATGACACTCATTGCAGAAATATTATTTAGTGTCTGTTAACAAGTATCATGATTAACAAAAGAGCCATGGTGAGGGAAAGACAATGTCAAAAGAACTCTATAGAAATAGAGTGTGGTAGGTGTAATGCAGAAAACAAACATGGTACAGTAACTACAGAGTAGCCTAGTAAGGGACTTGTCCTTTCCATGGAGACGCTAGACTGAAAATTGATGGCAAGACCCTGGGAGAAAGAGTAGGAGGGGAGAGAAGTTCACAACAATTAGCAAACTATGCCCATTTTTTTTTTTTTTGGTATAGAATTGCATGGTACTAGAAACTGAGTTCATAATCATAATTCCTATGATTGTTGCTATCAGCATGTCTTGTGTCCATTGCTTAGCGCTCTTAATATCAAGATGGAGTCCCAGTGAGTAGTATACAAGACTAACCATTTCTTCAACATTATAAACATAGAATATCACAATATTTCATTTCTTATCCATTTCTAGTATCTTTGTCGCCCCCATGTGACCCTCCCCAATGATATCTCCTATTCTCCCTGAGAGGTAACCACTACTCTGGATTTCTGAGTTAATCATTCTCTTCTCTTTATAGTTTCATGTGTGTGTGTGTGTGTGTGTCTGTCTGTTACTCTAAGTTTCTTTCTCAAATTTTTGCTCATAAAATAAATCACCTACAAGCCTTATTAAAATAGATTTCTGGGGACCAACAGACAGCTCTGGACTCGCACATGGCCAACCATGATTCGAGTTCTGGACATGGTGGCTTGCTTTCCCACTTTCCCGCTCATCGTATCTCTCCAGTCAAATTAATAATAGTAGTAATAATAATAACAATAAATAATTTATTTTAAAAATAAAAATAAAACAGATATTTCTGACCCCCGATCCATGAAACAAACAAACAAAAAGTGTATTTCTAACATCTCCTCAGGTCATGCTGGTGCTCCTGGTCCAGGGGCCATGCTTTGAGAACTACTGTCCTAGTTTTTGCCTGTTTATAAATGGAAGCATAGGACATGTATTCTTCTGTAACTTCTTTTTTAAACCCAAATTTTGGTTTTGAAGTTCGTCTTTGTTAATACCGGTAGCAATGGGTCATGCATTTTACCATTGTATTGTTTTCCATTTCTCATTCATCTCTACTACCCCTTTGCCGTCAGGGAAAGGGGAGAAAAATAGGAACAACTTGCTTAGATGCTAAGAAAAGTGATTCCTCCCCAACAAGCATCCAGCATCCACCATCCATGACCCCTGACACACAGGAACAGGGCATTGTTGCTGCCCTTGGAAGGAAAAGCTCTGAGATATCTATCCTCAAAGCCCTGGGTTCTCAAGCAAGTTGAGAGGCTTGGGACATGCCTGGCATAGCAAGACCTGCAGACCTCCCAGAGCCTGCTCATATAAAAATATCATGTAACACCGGCCTTCCCTAATCAGATAAGGATATAAAGGGATGGAAGAGAAGGTAACAAACTTAGTATTTGCTTAGAATGGGCTAGACACTACTGTTGAGTATATGAATTAATAAGGACCAGAGAACTGAATAAATGTATGAAAGAAATAAGTTCTTTCAGGACCAGCAGTTGGCGTAATGGCTGTGTCGCTGGACTCCCATGTAGTCGACCACAATTTGAGTCCCAGACCCAGTGACTTAAACTCACACCAGGCACATGTGCGTGCATGCCCAAGATCCTGAGAGGAGAATGGAGGAGAAGGGATTGTGGCATGGCCATCCCCCTCGGATGGTGATTTCTTGTTTTCTGTCTCTCTGTTTCTCTCTGTCTTTCTGGTGAGTGCATGCACCCTATAGCAAAAACTTCTCAAAAAAAAAAAAAAGAAATATGTTCTTTCAAATCCTTTCAACATTTATATATGGTATATATTTTTATACCTGTTTCACAAGAGATGTTAAGAGACTCTTGCCCAGGGTCACAAACCTAACACAAGACACAGTTCGATTTTAAACCGAATTCTGATTACAAATCACATCGTTCTTCCACTTTATATTGTTGACTCCCTGTTCCTCCCCTACGCATTTACCTAACCACTGAGGAGTACTCCCCTAAGGTATTTAAACATTCTCTGGAAACGAGTTCCAATTAGTGTTACCTGAACTGCTGAAACTAGCTTTCATGGTTCTTTTCATAAGAGTTGCAACAGATGTAGCATTTAAAAAAAGAGTGGGAGTGACACATTAACTCATGGCATGGTCTCCTGGTTGGACCTGAATGTTCGACTTGGATTTATTTGCCTGACAACTGACTGGGCTGCCTTGTGCTTTTGCTGCAGGGGCTTTCCAAAGAAGGCCAGCAGAACGGCTAGGATAGCCTCCGATGAGGAGATTCAAGGCACAAAGGATGCTGTCATTCAAGACCTGGAACGGAAACTTCGCTTCAAGGAGGACCTCCTGAACAATGGCCAACCGGTACTGAGAGAGAGATGTGGGGCCTGGACTTGGAATCTTAGCAACCACATCAAAGAGCTCTTCTCTCACTTCGCTAAGACTTAGCTTCTTAAGATCTGTCCGCAGAGTTATTACTTCTAAATCTCAACATTCCTCCTAGAATTATTGCTTCAATCTGGAGACTATGAAATGGCTTCCTTCCATTTGGTCTTCACTGCTTCCTCCTATTTATAAAACTGTTCGTGGAGTGAAGATAGCACATTTGAGAGAAAAGGAAGAAGGGTAGACCTTAGGGTTGAGAACAGTTGAGTAATCATGATTTTATACAGAAAAAAGAACATGGGGGTTCCATTCAGGCTCAGTTGGGATTGGAAACAGTGAAACAGAAATAAAGAATCAAAAAGGGAATTTGGATTCTATGGCGTGTACTGTGTCTACACAGAACATATCTTTACTAAAGAAACCCTTGCTGACGTTTAGTTCTACTCTACCAGACTATTACTAGAGATCGAGTCAGGAATCTGAAATGGTAATGCCTGCTCCACAGTTTATTGGGTTGTGGGAAAGTCATGACACATTTTTGCGTAGAAAAACATAGAACGTGACTTTCCTGACAACCTAACCGTTTGGTAGAGCAAGAAAACTGAACTCAAGAAAAAAATGATGTTTTAAAGTTGCAGAATTTTAGAGTATATAAATAGATTTTGTAAAAAAATATGTGAGATGTTGGGCCTGCCACTGACGTGATAGTTAAGGAGGCTGGATCCCACGTGACCAACTGCACTGTTGGAGTCCTGGACTGGCTTCTTGGAAAATACACCAGGCATGTGTGTGTGCATGTCCAAAATCTCAAGAGAAGAATAGAGGAGAAGGGACTGCAGTGTGGCCACCCCCCTCCCCACAAGGGGGGCTTTCTCACTTTTTCTTTCTCTGTGTCTCTCTCTTTCTAGCGAGTGTGTGAACCCTAGAGCAAGATTTTTAAAAATATTGTGTATGAGATATTTTCTCCCTTTGACTTAAGTGTTTCCTCATCAGTTTCTTGTTTTTGTGGTGTGCTGACCTTTTCTTACCACATCAGGCTACTTAAAGGAAATGGGAAAAGCAAACCTAGAAAATAAGATTTCCCATGTAAAGGGGAAGAGTCTTTGTCACTTTATTATGGAATTATCACCAAAAACTTTCCCCTAGCTCTTAAGGAAGAAAGGAGCTTCTTTGTACAAAATCTCCTGAGATACCTTTTTTGGAATAGAAAGATCTCTATGTTAATTATGTTTTCTGGGGATGTTAATTATAAGGCATTGATAAAAATCTGAGAACAAACCATATTTAATTGGAAAGAGAGAATAGAGGAGAATAGTTGAATGCTGATTTTAATTATTAGGACATCTCAAAAGGAAAGATTACAATTCTAATGAGTTTTGTATCATTTACTCATTTCCTTGGATGTAGAAGACTTTCTCAAAAGGGAAATACTTCCTTGTGAAGTAAGTGACTACATGTGTAAATGTACAGAGTCTGGAAGTTTTCCCTGGCTCTGTCAATGAAAGCCTTTGAAAGATTAAAATAAATACTTATGGGAATGTTTTCAAGCCAGGTAAAGATATCACTCCAGTTTTTTTTTTTTTTTTAACTTTTACTTTTTGCTTATTTATGTAAATATTCCTATGGACTAAGATTCCCTTGGTTAAGATAAGACCTATGTAAGCTATTATTTAATCATATCATGTGTACTACATGTACATTTATATTTATCTGTTATATATCTAAGTATATATTATTTATATTCATCTGTTTAGCAGTGTAGGACTTTTTCTTTTCTTTTTTTTTTAAGAGAGATTTTTGCTATAGGCTGCATGCACCGCCAGAGAGACAGAAAGCAAAAAATCACCCTCCATGGGGATGGCCACACTGTAATCCCTTCTCCTCTATTCCCCTCTTGAGGTCTTGTGTACACATATGCACACTCCCAGCATGAATTTTAAGCCTTTAGGTCTGGGACTCGAACCATGGTCAACTACATGGGAGGCCAGCAACATAATCATTACGCCATCTGCTAGTCCCCAGAGTGTAAGACATTTGCAATAAATTCCATCGATACCCATAATTGAGGATGTAGAAGGAAAGAAAAGTAAGATTTTCCATTTTTGAAAACTAGATTTTCAAATGACGTTTTCCTAATGTTACACATTATTCTCTTATTCATTTTGGCTTTTGTAGACAAGTAAATCCACATGACATAGTGCTTCAGAAACAAAACTGTGAAGTAAATTTGGCTTCTAATGGTAGCAGGTGCATTCTGTGAAGAAATACAGAGATATCAAGCTGATATTTCCGCTTATGAGGAACAGGGTAGAAATTGCTCCAGTCCTCCCTTAGACATTGATAAAATTTTCCAGGAAAACATTAGCAAGGTTTTTGTTTGTTGGTTTTTTTGGTTTTTTTTTTTTTTTTTTTTTAAGATTTTTGCTATAGGACCAATGTGCTCACCAGAGAAAGACAGAGGGAAAATGAGAAATCACTCTCCTACACACACACATCCAGGGCCACACTGCAATCCCTTCTCCATTCTCTTGAGATTTGGGGCATGCACTCAAAGTGATTCTCAAATCACCAGGTCTGGGATTCAAACTGACAAGTTGGGCATGTGAGGTTCAGCCTCTTAACCACCACACTATCTGCTGGCCCAGGAAGGCTTTGGAAGAGAGCAAGTATTTAAAACTCTCTCTCAAACTGGGATTGGCTGACTTTTTTAAATAGACATGAGAAAATGAAATACTAACATTCTGGACTGAGAGCCTCCGTGCACCAGTTACACACCCACCTCTTCCTGTCCCCGATCTCCCTTTATGAAGTGAAAATTTTAAATTCGGGACTGCCATTTGGCACTTGTTTCACTTCCCAGTTTCAGCTGAGACTGGAGCCAGCAGTTACTGGAAATTGTAAATTTACACATGTTTTCTTGACTAGAGAGCTTCCAATAAAATTGACATTTATATTCAGATGTTTGGAAGTTTATCTGAAGTAACTTCTATACCTTTTCCAGGTTCTACCTGACTAATTATTCTCTATTCCTACTATTCTTAATCAAACACTTGGTTGGGGCAGATAAGTGTCTGCTCCCTGGCCCATAATTCTTTTTTTTTTTTTTTTTTAGAGGTATTTGCTATAGAGCACGTGTACTTGCCAGAAAGTCAGAGAGAGATAGAGAGACAGAAAGTGATTGCCACACCGCAATCCCTTCTCCTCCATTCTCTTCTAGGGATCTTGGGCATGCATACACATGCGCCCCGTGTGAGTTTAAGTCACCAGGTCCAGGACTCAAACCAGGGTTGACTACATGGGAGTCCAGCGACATAGCCATTACGCCAACTGCTGGTCCCCTCCCTGGCCCATAATTCTAAGACATTTTAGACCCAGCACTCGGGAACTGGAATCACCACCATACACAGAACAAAAATGTCAGCATTTCTCATGGTTTTGGCTGATTCCATAGTACTGGCTGCTTCATACAAAATGCAATCACTTTCCTTGACTAACAGGCCAGCAGTCTGCCACTGAGTCGAGTCATGAATTGTGGGTGTTAGCTCTGGCAGGTATTTTTCATAGTTTTGTTGCTGATTCAGGCATGCGTAGTCATTCTTAGTGGATTATTGTATTTGCCTACATTCATCCACATTATACAGCAGCCTCCGAAGTGTTCTTAGACATGAGGGCCTCGAAGCAGAGAGGGCCATGTCTGCCAGCTGATGTAAAATTTCCCTCAGTGGGACCAGCAGGTGGTGTGGTGACTAGGGTGCTGGATTCTCATATGACTGACTATGCTTCAAGTCCCAGACCCAGTGGCTTGCTTTCTCATTCACACACACTCTCTGTCTCTCTTTGTCTCTCTCTGATGAGCACAAATGCCCTATAGCAAATCTAAAAATAATAACAATACATAAAATGAAATAATTCGTACAAAAACCTTTCCTTAGCTAATGTTTATTGAGCACATACTATGTGTCAGACACATGTGCTAAGTGACCGGACAGAATTATTTCAAATGATACCTGCTCTTTCGATCTCATTGAACAATTTATTCTTTAGTGAATCTTTCTTTACACTTGAGTGTAAAGTGTATCCTTTAGTTTATCTTTCCATTTGTGCTCTTGGTCAGTCTTAGAGTTGATGTGGCTGTTCTCGCTCAGACTTATAATTGGCTATGAAATAACATTTCCTTTAAATTGTATGGTGCTATTTAGGGCCAGTAGGTGGCGTGGAGGTTAAGGCACTGACTGTGGTTCAAGGCCCATGCAAGCCCAAAATTCCAAAAGGAGAATGGAGGAGAGGGGATTGCAGTATGGACATCCCCTCAGGCGGATGATTTCTCACTTTCCCTTTCTTTTTTTTTTTTTTTTAAGAATTATTTTATTAACTTTCTTTATTTATTCATTCATTTGTTTATTTCAACCAGAGAGGGACAGACTGAGAGAGAGAGAGAAAGCAAGCTGCTATGGTCGAACCATGGTTGGCCATGTGGGAATCCAGTGCCTTTAACCACCACATCTGCTCCCCCCACTTTCTCTGTCGTTCTCTGGAGAGCACACATGCCCTCTGGCAAAAATAAAACAAAATTTTTTTTTTTTTTTAAGGTATGGTGCTGCTTCAGTATTTTTTTTTTTTTTTCTTTTTTTGGAAAGGTTTCTTTGCTATAGGGCACGTGTACTCGCCAGAAAGAGAGAGAGACAGAAAGCGAGAAATCACCCCTCAGGGGGGATGGCCACGCTGCAATCCCTTCTCCTCTATTCTCCTCTCAAGATGTTGGGCACACACGCACACACGCCCGGCGTGAGTTTAAGCCACCGGGTCCGGGACTCGAACCACGGTCGACTACATGGGAGTCCAGTGACATAGCCATTACGCTAACTGCTGGTCCTGGTATCTTCTCTTTTTCTGCTTTTTAAAATCGTTATGAAAGATAAGTATATGGCATGTATTTTCTGTGTGGTTTCTGCCTTCTCTTTGAATTTGTGCTGTAACAGTTGGCTCTCAGGATTAATCATCTAGTCCCTCAGCACTGGACTACACCATTAGGAGTAGTAGGGGAGGTGACAGGCAGGACACCTGAAACAAGGGAAAGAAAGACTCTGTTCATGCAGGTATCTGAAGCTAGAGAGAATAATTACCAAAAATATCAAAAATCATTGTATTTGTTTTGTACTTTTTATATAAGGTAATGGGTAATTGTGAGTTTTTTTGTCTAATTTTCATGTATGTGTGTGTGTGTGTGTCTGTGACTTACTTTGCTTAGAGATTAACATATGAAGAAAGAATGGCTCGTCGACTACTGGGTGCTGACAGTGCAACTGTCTTTAATATTCAGGAGCCAGAAGAAGACACAGCTAATCAGGTACTGTGTTGATCTGCACTTTTTTAAAAAAAAATTACAATTATTTTGTCCCTCTCCATATACTCTGTACAGACACTATTCTTGGGACCTGTTGTGTGAAAAATAGAGAGTAAGTCGTAGAAAAGCAGTATCAATATCATCAGCCAAACTCATCGCTAATATTTAGTGAACATAAACTGTGTGCCAGACATCGTGTTGAGTGACTGGCAGAATTATTTCGGTCACTGATCCCCGTTCTTTTTAGCGTTCTGTTGATGGGTGTATTCTCCTTTCAAGGACATTCCTGTTTCTCCTGTTCTGTGCTTTAATTCAAAGTAACTCTCTATATGGAGAAATACATTTTCACTGACAATGCTTGAAAGAACTAATATTTTCAGTTAATATTCTTAATATCGATTATATATAACTATTATATCATAGTCAATGTAAAATATCTTCGTACAGAAAAGACTATGCTGTTGTCTTCCCTCCTAAATCACTAATCAGCAGACCTAAAATGCTGTTTTTGTTTCCTGCTGCCACCAAAAAGTTACTTCATAGATTTAATGTAAGTTGCTTTATCATCTCTACTGCTTCTGTTTAGTTTCCAAATGTAGTCTCAGGCTAAAAGAAAGACTTTAAAACAAGATGGGGGGGCCAGGGGAACCAGCAGTTAGCGTATGTCGCTGGACTCCCACGTGGTCGACCATGGTTCACGTCCCAGACCCGGTGGCTTAAAACTCACGCCGAGCGCGTGTGCGTGCGTGCCCAAGATCCCGAGAGGAGAATGGAGGAGAAGGGATTGCGGCGTGATCATCCCCCCTGGAGGGTGATTTCTCGCTTTCTGTCTCTATGTCTCTCTCTTTCTGTCTGGCGAGCGCACACGCCCGATAGTGAAAAACCTCTCCCCCAAAAAAAAAAAAAAAAATCAAGATGGGGGCCAGCAAATGGCATAGCAGTTAAGGTGCAGAATTCCCACATGGCCAACCACAGTTCAAGTCTCAGACCTTGCCGCTTGAAAATCACCAAATAAATAAATAAATAAATAAATGTTTGGTTTAAAATAGTCAAATGAATGCTTTCTCATGTCTGTTAAGAAATGGGTCATTCTTTAAATTCTGAAAGTTCTTTTGTGTTAAATATTGCCAACACAAAAGTTTTCACATACAACTAGAAATCTTGCTGCATTCTTATTTATCATTACTCTTTACTTCTTTTTCTCTACCATTACAGGAAATTGGGTCTCCTCATGCTTCTCTAGGGAGTCCTCTGGACGGTCAAAAGGTTACGCTTTTCGCTTTCTCTTTCTGGTCTTTCACTGTGTCTGTTTTCTTCTGTTCTTCTTTTATCTGTTTTTCTGTCTTTACTGCCATATAGTAATTACAAATGCTATGACCAGTATCTATTTTAATTGACTTCTACATTTTTTAAAGTTTATTTATTTTTTCAGAGAGAGAGAGGACAGAGATTATAAAGACAAAAAAACCCAATAGGGTCTTCACATCATGACATATCTCTGGCTTTGGCCAGACCAGATCATGGGCATATGCGTGCACTCAGCATGCTCAGGGAGGTCCCAGGATATGAACCCAGGACCTCTTCCATGTGGGCCCAGTTGCATTCTTACTAAGCCCACCACTTGGCCTCTATTTTCATTTCCTATCAGATGAATAAAATTGGTGCAATGTGATTTTTCTTGTCATTTACTTACAAAGTTAAATTTAATTTTGTCGTCGGTGGATATTCTGAACTTTAAATTCCAGAAAGTTCTTCATTTTTTATACCTTTCTAAATAAAAGGGGGGTTAATTCTTAAAGTGATGAATCATAATTAGACAAAACAACTTGAGGTATAGTTTCTGCGATTTTATTCATACCAGTTTTATTTCTTCCTTCAAACCAATAAACTTTTTTAAAGGTTGAATGACTTCTTTAGTAAAAACCTAATTAAAATGATATTTTATTTACTATTCAGTGGGGGGTATTTTATAATGGGCTATCTTGTCTTCATTGTACTTTTAGGGAAGAAAACTGTAGGCTCCACCTTAATCATCAGAGGTTATTGAGGGGTTCTTTGCTTTGCCTTTGTTTTTTTGTTGCTGTTGTTGTTTGTTTGTTTAACCACAATTTTGACTGTTCTGTCATTCCTATTTTTCTTATAAAGAAGGTGGGTTCTTAACTGCTACAGAGCTGAAGAGGGGTCCCCTATGAAGAAATGGATTGTTTTGTATGAACAAAACATGGTGCTATTTTTTTTCCATGTTATATATTTTATACAATTCTATGTGATGTTGCAGCTGCTTATCACATGTACTATTAACCTTCTGGAGGAATGTACCCCTTACCTCAGCTCTGCCCTACAGAAGGAAATCAGCAATCTATTATGTTTTATTTTTACAAACAGTTTACACACATGTAACCGTTGCTTTTGCTGTTTTCTTTCCTTTTCTCTCCTCCCTCAACCCCTCTCAAGTGAAAAGAGAAAAAAAAAACCTCATATTCTTAGGTGTTTTTCCCCCTTTCTGCTCTTTTAATTTTGGGAGCATAGGACTTGAAGACAATTTGAAATGCTATACATATTCATTTCCAGATGTTTTTTTGTTTTACATGGAGTTAAGTTGAGCTGAGACTATGTTTTCAAACTCTATGGTTTTAAAAAAAATCACTATCTTCTCAGGGCCTTGTTGGAGAGGGGGACAAGATGCATGAGATGCACTGTACCACAAGGGACCGAGGTTGCTAACTTGAACTTCTTTGTTTGACACAGGAGTACAAAGTCTCCAGCTGTGAGCAGAGACTCATCAGTGAGATCGAGTACAGGCTAGAAAGGTCTCCTGTGGAGGAGTCGGGGGATGACATTCAGTATGGGGATGGACCTGTGGAAAATGGAGTGGCGCCGTTCTTTGAGATGAAGCTGAAACATTACAAGATCTTTGAGGGAATGCCTGTAACTTTCACGTGTAGAGTGGCTGGAAATCCAAAGCCAAAGGTGAGCCAAAAGCATGGCTTTTGTAGAGTGGTGTTTTCTGAGGAAGAGTTTAGCTTCCAAAATACAACATGAGTGTTAGAGGGAAGAGATGAAGACTACTCTTCTCATACCCATCATATAAAATGTAAGTACTCTTAAGTTCAGGGCTATCTGCAAGAGGCTTTACAAACCTAAAAAGTAGATAGGCCTGCAGATGGCATGATCATTGAGTCCCTGGAAGCCACATGGCTGACTCTGTGGTTCTAGTCCCAGATTCAGTGACCCGGAAAATATGCTGGATACATGTGCTTGTGTGCCCAAAATCCCAGAGGAGAATGGAGAGGAGATTGTTGTACGGGCATGCCTGCTGGAGTGGTGATTTCTCACAAGAAAGAGAGAGAGAGAGAGAGAGAAAGAGAGAGAGAGAGAGAGAGAAAAGAAAGAAAGAAAGAAAGAAAGAAAGAAAGAAAGAAAGAAAGAAAGAAAGAAAGAAAGAAAGAAAGAAAGGGAGAGAGAGAGAAAGGAAAAAGAAAGAAAGAAAGAAAGAAAGAGAGAGAGATAGAGAGAGAGAGAGGAAGGAAGGAAAAAGGAAGGGAAGGGAAGGAATTTAAAAGATAGAAGGTGAGTAAGAATGGAGTTTGGGTCTGAAGAACAGAACAGAATAACCCCATAAAAACAACAATTAATTAACAAGGAGCTTGTCACATACCTACATTGTTTACTCCTCACTGTTACTCCCAGATTGCAAGTAACTAAACTGATCTTGGTGACGTTAGCTACCTTTTCCACATCCAAAGAGCTGAAGGGCATTCAGGCTTGGATATGAATCCAGTGGTCTGAATCACACAGAGAAGGAATACACACTGCTGGTTATGAAAACTTCACATCTTTATAAAACCAAAGCTTTCCTATATTTACAGAGGGCAATGAGGTGAGGAATACTGTTTAGGAAGGATAATGAAAACTTCTGATGTTATAGAGGACTGGGCTAAATTGGACAGGAGCCCTTTCCCTGCAAACACGGAAATGCTGGATAAGGAGCTGCCCTGTCTTTAAAGCAGGACTAGAATAACTTTACCAGTCCAGCAAAACAATAGAAACGATTATGTTTTTCCCCAGGACTTGAGTGGGAGGAATAGAAAGGATAAGAAATTGAAATCCCAAAAATATACAACCACACGATAAGGAACCAAAGCTAAGAAATTAATATGAAATTTAATTATGTATTATTATAATCCTTAGGTTTCTGGCAGAAGCAAGCAAAAACATTGTCCTAGAGGATACTTTTTACAACTGGAAGTGTATCAGACTTCCACAGGGTACTAGGGAGGAAACACTACAGAGCACTCACTCACAATAAAACCATGCAAGCCATCTGAGGAAATAAACAATCATGAGGAGAGTCAATAGCCCAAGAAGTAAATAGAAGCCCAAGTTTTACACATATTGAACAATCGTAAGAGGACTCTAAAATAACTGTATTTAAAATAACTGATAGGCGAGCCAGCCAGCAGCATGGTGTTGAGGTAGCTGGATTCCATATAACAGACTACATGGTTCAAGTCCTGGACCCAGTGGCTTGAAAATCACACTAGCACATGTACATGCATACCCAAAATCCTGAGAGGGGAATGGAAGAGAAGGGATTGTGGTGCAGTTATCTCCCCTGGGCAAATGGTTTCTCACCTTCCCTCTTTCTGTCTTTGATAGGCCAGTAGTGTTAGTTAAGGAAGATGGATTCTACATGGCTAACCATGGTTCAAATTCTGGCCATGGCAGCTTAAGAAACACTCTGGACATGTATGTACATGCCCCAAATCCTGACAGGATGGGAAAATGAAGAAGGGATTGTAACATGACCATGCCTGATGGGGAGGGTTTTTTCCTCTCTTTCTCTGACAAGTGTACATACCCTCTGGCACTTAAAAAAAAGAAGAAGAAGAATCACTTCCAGCAGGGTCTCATCATACTACAATCCCCCTTTCCAAGCCCTCCAACTCCTCAGGATCCTGGGCACTCATACACACATACATTGTATTTCTAGGCCAACCCAGAGATCCAAACCCATGGTTGGCCATATGGCTTCCAGTCTCACAGGACACTTGGGTACTGCTGTTGGGCCTAATTTAATTTTTAGAACTGAAAGTTATGGGACCAGCAGATAGCATAGCGTTATGTGGCTGAACTCCCACCTGGCCAAATGTAGTTCGAGTCCCAAACCCAGTGGCTTCAAAGTCACACCAGACACCTACCTGCATGTGTGCCCAAAATCCCAAGAGGAGAATGGAGGAGAAGGGATTGCAGCATGGCCACCACCCCCACCCCCCCTCCCAGAGGGTGATTCTTGTTTTCTGTCTCTCTGGTGAGCACATGTGCCCTATAGCAAAAAATCTCTCCAAAAAAAACTGTTTTAAAAAGAATAGGAAGTTATTAACCTACTTTATAGTTAATTTTTAGGTTCTAGAAACTAATAAATAATATGGTTTCTATAAATTTGAAGTTAAATGAAAAGCAGGGGTTGGAAAATTAATGTTGTCAGACCATGATAATTCCTATATTTATTTAGTATGATGTATTTCTAGCCTGTTCCTGTTTTAGGAATAGAGAGATGTCACAGATTTTTTGGATTCAAATACTTTGACATAGAACTGATTTAGTGCCAGTTTGTATCCTCAATTTGCATATTGATTTGCATTAAGGTTTTATAAGAATTATTTATTTAGTTTTATGTATTTATTTTAATTTGACCAGAGAGAAACAGAGAGAGGGACAGTGAGAAAGAAAGCAAACTGCCAGGTCTGGGACTCAAACTGCAATCAGACATGTGGGAGTCCAGCACCTCAACCACCATGCCACCTGCCAACCCCTGAAAGAAGTTTAATTTAAAAACAAAGGATTCAGGACCAGCAGATGGCATAATGGTTACATCACTGGACTCCCACATAGTAGACCATGGTTCGAGTCCTGGACCCAAAATCCCAAGAGAGGAATAGCCGCAAAGGGAATGTAGCATGGCCATCCCCCCAGGGGACAACTTTTCACTTTCTGTCTCTCTGGTGAGTACACACACCCTAAAGCAAAATTCTCTCTTCAAAAACCATTATTAGTTTAATTTTTTAAATTATTTTTATTATTTTCACTTTTTTATTTTTATTTTTTGAGATCGAAGTGAGGATTTTTTTTTTCCTTCCTTTTACATTCAGCTTTATTTTTGTACTGGATATTTGCACAGAAACTACAAAAATGCCCAAGTTGTGTTACATTTTTTTTAAATTATTTTTATTTAATTATTTTTCACATTTAATTTCCTATCAATTCAAGTTATATCTGAAAACTGTTGTACTTTCCAGTACTATTTTGTTTTGTTCAACCTAATGGGAGGAGCTGCCAAGCTGCCAATCTTTGATCAGATATTTCTTGGCTTGAATTAGTGATAAAGTTCCCCATCACCAACCCTTAACCATAACCTCCCTTCTCACCACCCTCTTTTGTGTGTCTAATACAATCCAGTGTAATGATTAGAGTTCAGGGTTTGTTTTTGTTGCTTAAAACTTTTGTTTGTTTGTTTGTTTTAAAGAATTATTTAACTTTATTTACTTATTTTCATCTGACCAGAGAGGGACACAGTGAGAGAGAAAGAGAGAGAGAGAAAGAGAGAGTGAGAAACAACACCGCCAGGTCCAGGACTCGAACTGCAGTCGACCATGTGGGCATCCAGTGCCCTTAACCACCACGCCACCTGCTGGCCCCTAAAACTTGTTTTACCTTCACTTTACAAGTAATACTTTTTTAAAAAAAGGCTTTTGCTTTAGGGCACTTGAGCTTGCCAGAGAGAGACAGTGAGAAGGAAAGTGAGAAATTACCTCCAGGTTGTGAGTGGTCACACTACAATCTCTTCTCCATCCTTCACATGCACACACGCTGGCATGATTTTCAAGCTGCCATGTCCAGCACTTAAGCTGCGGTTGCCCATGTGGGAGTCTAGTGCCTTAACCACTATGCCACCTGCTGGCCCACAAGTAATACATTTTAATTGCAAGTACATTTGAAAAAGAAAAGAAAAAAAAAAGAAGAAAAGAAAAGAGAGAAGAGAGGAGAGGAGAAGAGAAAAGAAAGAAGAGAGAAGGGAGGGGAGGGGAGAGTGGGGAGGGAAGGAAAGGAAAGGAAGAGAAAAGAAAAAAGAAAAGAAAGGAAAGGAAAGAGAAAAGAAAGAAAAGAAAAAAGAAAAGAAAGGAAAGGAAAGAGAAAAGAAAGAAAAGAAAAGAAAAAGAAGAAAAGAAAAGAGAGAAGAGAGGAGAGGAGAAGAGAAAAGAAAGAAGAGAGAAGGGAGGGGAGGGGAGAGCGGGGAGGGAAGGAAAGGAAAGGAAGAGAAAAGAAAAAAGAAAAGAAAGGAAAGGAAAGAGAAAAGAAAGAAAAGAAAAGAAAAGAACAGAAAAGAAAAACAAGCTGGGCCAGCCGGTGGCATGGTAGTTAAGGTGGCTGGATCTTACATGGCCGAATGCATGATTCCGGTCCCAGACCCGGCGGCTTGAAAAGCACACTGAGCACATGTGAATGTGTGCCCAAGATCCTGAAAGGAGAGAGAGATGGATAAGAGACTGAGGAATGACCATGCCCCATAGCAGTGTGCTTTCTCACTTTCCCTCCTCTCTTTCTCTCTGTCTCTTTTTGGCAAGCACATACTCTGGCAAAAATTTTTTTAAAAGAGAGAAAAAAATACCTTTATGCCATTTCAGAGAAATAATCATTGCTCAAGGTCAATATGTATCCTTTCATATATTAACAAGTAATGTGTAAATACTATATTTTAAAAACCCAAACAGGATATTTATGTATTTTTCATACACATATTTTTCAAAATGAAAACATACCATTTTTAAAAACCACAATAGAATTGAACTTGTTAACCTGTTTTCTTCTTTCTTCACTCAAAAGTCAATTTCCTATTCAGGTGTCCAATTTAACTTTTTAACATGAAAAAACTCCCATTGGCTTTGTAGACCACACTATAATTATTTGTCAGTCCTCCAAGACAATGGAGCAAGACAATACAGCCTCTTACTCTTTTGCTTTTGTTTTCATTCTCAGATCTATTGGTTCAAAGATGGGAAACAGATTTCTCCAAAGAGTGACCACTACACTATTCAAAGAGACCTCGATGGGACCTGCTCCCTCCATACCACAGCCTCCACCCTAGACGATGACGGGAATTATACAATCATGGCCGCAAACCCTCAGGTGAAGAAGGGGGTGGGTCTGGGTTCAGCCCTGCTTTTATAGGCATTTGGAAAGAGGGACTGCTTAATGAAAAGGCAAGGTTATATTTCTTTGATTTACGAAACTATTTTTTTGCTAATTCTACATCCATCTTGGTTTTAGGAGACCAAAAAAAGTTACTTTATTTCACAAGTACTTATGTATTCGATCAGGTATTTCTCTACAGAAATGAGCCTGGTGCTGATGTGCATTTCTCCCACAGATGTTAGGAAGGGCCTCCTGTGCACACATCTCTTAATGTAGGTGACAAGGTTATTGTGATTATCAGGACAGGACAAAGTACTAAGGAGAAAACTTTTTTAAAAAATCAATATATAGGGACCAGCAGTTGGTGTAATGGCTTTGTCACTGGACTCTCATGTAGTCAACCATGGTTTGAGTCCTGGACCCAGTGGCTTAAACTCATGCTGGGCATGTGTGCGTGTGTGTCCAAGATCCCAAGAAGAGAATGGAGGAGAAGGGGTTGCGGTGTGGCTATCCCCCCTGGGAGGTGATTTCTCGCTTTCTGTCTCTCTTTCTCTCTGTCTGTCTCTTTCTGATGAGTGCACGTGCCCTATAGCAAAAATCTCTAAAAAAAACTCAATACATACCTTATGGAATTTAAGTAATACACAAGTGTAGACAAATTATAACTCTAATAGTGTTTGATACTGTTTAACATTGAGAATTTGTTTGTTTCTATCAAAATGCTTTTCTCTTACATGTGCCCTTAGTGTTGGGTCAAGAACTCAGTTGTTATTTTAAAATTTCATGGGAGGCTGCTCTATTTTAGGACCCCAATTTGTGCCTGCAAAATTTTTTTGATTGATAATCTTACATATTTTAGTATTTTAGGCTCTATGCTGGGCCCAGGGGACATAAAAATGAGTAAGAAGTGCATTTGTTCCCAAAGAGGTCAATGTGTGACAAGGTAACTTTACTAAGTCTGCAGAAATCATTTAAATAATACATTTTTTTTTTAGAAAAAGGAAGCTAAAATGAGCAATTTTATCATATAACCAATGAAGATGATCCAGATATCATCTTTTTAAAAATCTCATATCTATTTATATGATTACATATTTTATTACATTTTTCAAAAACATTGTTAAAAAAGTCATATAAATAATTTAAATGAGGCTTATAAAGTTCATAGAAGGCTTATGCTACCTTTTTAAAATTATTTCATTTAACTTTATTTATTTACTTACTATTTTAATTTTGACCAGAGAGGTACAGAGTGAGAGAGCAAGAGAGGGGAAAGTGAGAAAGCAAGCTGTCAGGGGACTCGAACAGCGGTCGGCCATGTGGGAGTCCGGTGCCTTTAGCCACCATGCCACTTGCCAGTCCTGGCTTATGTTATCTTAATATTCCATTGTCATATAAAGATATTTTCCTGCAATACTGTTAAGATTAGAATAAACTCAAATTATCCAGCTAATCAATCTATTTTGGAACACAGTAAACTCTTCACTGTCAGTGCAGTTTCCATATTAATAATGTACCTTCTTGAAGTTCTCATTTTTTAATTAGGTGAATACATGACCTTCACCCTGAAAAATAGTCAAAATGATAATCTCTTTTTTTCAAAATGCATTTCATTATTTCGTGTTTATGTTTGATGTATTTGGTAGAACTTAGCTTTTTCCTTACTGTACTTAACATTAATAGTATGTTTCCTTGACTATTAACACATTTTAACTTTCAATTCTCTACCTGTTACAAAAAATGGTGGAAAGCTCACCAAAATCCAAAATTTTTCTTCACTTTGAGTCTTTTATTACTCTTCTCCTAAAAGGCTGGGATATATTATGGGTATAGAATTGTCTGTGTTCCTTAGGTACTTGGCAGTACTGGGGTCCTGGCATTAATTTGAATGCATCTTTCCTAGCATGTTTAAATTATTATTGGAGTAATCCATTATACAGAACAAAAGAACATAAAGCTGTAATTTTAAATCTGCTTCTAGTCTTCAATTTATACTAATATATTTTTGCATGTGGAAAAGTTCTAAATGGGGGGAGGGAACTCCATCCTCATGGCCTGTAGCAGAGGGCAGAGTTTAAGACAGCAGACCAACCTCAAAGGTCAGTGGTCTTTAATTATTTAAACTCTGACACACTATGATGAAGTCACTAAAGGAAAGCTATTGAAGTTTCCCCTGGATCATTCCACATTGTATACATAGATCATAACATCATATCATACCCCATAAATATATACAATTATCATTTGTCAATTTAAAAAATAATAATATGACCCAAAGTTGTGTATGTATATATATATATATATATATAGAGAGAGAGAGAGAGAGAGAGAGAGCGAGCCCCCTCAAAAATCCTGTAAACACAGGAAAAGGATAAAGAGAAAGCTATCAAAAGAAAAAAAAAAAAAGGATATAACAAAGACAGACCAGAGTACCAAGAAACCTAGAGCCTGGTAGGCAGGCTATATAGTGTAGGGTTGAAAGTGTGAGTGGCTGTGGTAAAATGGGAACTCTCCTGCACTGCTGGTGGGAATGTAAATTGGTCCAGCTATTGTGGAGAACAATACAGAGGTTCCTCAAAGATCTACAAATAGAACTACCATGTGACCCAGCAATTCCACTCCTGGGTATCTACCCAAAGAACAGGAGAACGCTCAGTCAGAAAAGTGCTTGCACATCTAATTTATTGTGGCATTATTCATAATTACTAAAACATGGAACCAACCCAAATGTCTACAAATAGATGAGTGTATTGAAAAACTGTGGCACAGATACCCTATGGAATACTACTTAGATATAAAAACAAGACCATGGCTTTTGATAAAAAGTGGACGAATATGGAAGATTTACTGCTGAGCGAAGCAAGCCAGACTATGAAAGAGAGACACTGTATGTCTCCACTTACTGTATACTGACTGTCCACATTCTATGGCAGAAGCTGAAAGTTTAGAGGATGTAGAAGCATGGAAAATAGTTACAGATACTAGGTACAGTGTGGGGAAGAGGGAATGAGAAGGGGGAGAGTGTGAGGAAAGACATTAGGGAGAAAAATAGAGAGACAAGACATTTATGGGACACAGAAATGGATTATTATCTGTGGATGATAATGTGTGTAGTACCCTCAACTGGACTGGTGTGAAGTGTATCATGTTGGGAAAATTCACTTTATAAGCAAAGTGATATGTAGTGATTGAATGTATAAAAGAAATTAAAATAAAATTTAAAAAAGAAAATGTGAGCGTGGGCATCAGGCAGATCTGAGTTAGAGTTCTAGCTCTGCCACTTGTAATCTGGGTGACCTTTAGCAACTCACCTTTCTGTGCCCACTTCCTCTTCTATCCAATGCAAATACTAATATGGATTTAAATATTAAGCACACGTAAAAAGCGCTTGGTTTACCTGGCACACAGTCGGCTTTCAATCAGTGCCAGTTCTTGTCATTATTTCAATTCAGAGACACTAATTAGCCCATCCTAGAGCAGCAGCCCTAAGCCTTGGCAGAAGCCCAAGGAGCCAGGATGTAAAGGAGCAGCTCTGTTCTGGGCGTCCTGCTCCCACAGTTGCTAGCATGAAAGCAGGTCAGGTTGACATGGAATTTTTACCCAACGTGTTGCTGAGTGTGTGGTCTCTGACCTCCTGACTTTTCCTTTTTATCACTCCCATGGGAAAAGAGCTAGGCAGCAGATGTGGCCGTGCCACAACTGCCACAGCTGTGGGCTAGGGTGGAGGGAATAGGAGCTGGGAGCGGCCACACCCACAGCACAGCTGACGCCAGCCACACATGAAGCTGGGAAGCTGTGCCCAGCTCTCTCAGGGCCAAGAATGGCCCAAAGGAGAGTGGTCACTGCCCTTGTTCCAGGCCGTGGTGTTCCGCCACTTTACCAAACCCGGGAGCAGGCCACATTCAGCCCTCTCTGCTTCTGTGCCTCCACCCTTTGGGGGTTGACAAACAAGAAGTGGACTGCTTTACATCAGGTAGCCGAAGTAACTAGGGTAGAATATCCCATCCCAGCTGAAATGTAAGCAAAGGGTAATATGACTGCACTGTGCCTAAAAGAGACAGCAAAAGATTCGAAGAAGCCCATGGTCACAGTGACCAGACCAGGGCTTAATACCAAGCATTCCAGCTGCCGCCAAAGGCTAGTTGGTACATCTAGTAATTTAATTAAAAGGCTGAAAGTCTGCTTTTCTACCCAGATAACTAACGATAGGCAAAAGGAGAGGAAATTCCTGAAGAGAGTAAGGAAGTCCTAAAAGTAGATGCTCCGGCCTCAGTGTGTACAGACATGGAACTCCCGTTGAAATTTCTGAAGAGAGTTTTGACTTTCATTCCACTTATTAGTCGCCGTTCCAAATTTCTGAGCATAGCGCCTGGTTGATTTTAATCCCAAGAGTAAAACTCCTTCTTCCCTATTCTGGGGTCTTCAGTAGAAGGTATGTTGAAATATGGCAGTAAAGGTTTTCTTAGTCATTACCTAGAAATTGATATGAACTTGGGACCAGCAGTTAGCGTAATGGCTATGTCGTTGGACTCCCACGTAGTCGACCACGGTTCGCGTCCCAGACCCGGTGGCTTAAACTCACTCCCAGCATGTGTGGGTGCGTGCCCAAGATCCCAAGAGGAGAATGGAGGAGAAGGGATTGCGGCGTGGCCATCCCCCCTGGGGGGTGATTTCTCACTTTCTGTCTCTCTGTCTGTCTGGCGAGCGCACACGCCCTATAGCAAAAACCTCTCCAAAAAAAAAAAAAAAACAGAAATTGATAAGAACTTTACAACCCATTAGAAAAACAGAATAGGTACCAGCCACTGGATAGTGGTTAAGGCAGCTGGATCCCACATGGCAGACTACGAGGTTCAAGTCCCAGACACAGTGGTTTGAAAAACACACCAGGGGGACCAGCAGTTAGCGTAATGGCTTTGTTGTTGGACTCCCATGTAGCCAATCACGGTTCAAGTCCCGGACCCGGTGGCCTAAACTCACGCCAAGTGCATGTG